TCCAGCAGGCTCAGGAGAAGGCACAAGAACAAAACAAGGTTCTATTTGTTGTTTTTGTAGACTTCACAAAGGCTTTCATTACTGTATCTCAAACTGGTCTTTGGAAAGTTTTGTCAAAATTAGGTGTTCCAGAAAAAATGCTCCATATTATTAGCTCCTTTCACGAAGGATAAAAGCTTTTGTAAGGTCAGGAAGTGAGCAATCGGATGCCTTTTTCATCTCCAAAGGTACAAAGCAAGGTTGCGTGCTTGCTCCTCTTTGCACTTCTCTTTTCTGCTATGCTTGAAAAAGCATTCTCTAACTTAAGTGAAGAAGTCAATGTTGAATTCAGAACAAGTGGAGGTCCATCTCTCACAAATCCCTCCATATTCATTGATGGCACGGCATTAAAAATTTTTGAGGTGTCACATATCTTGGCTCAATAGTCTCTTCTGATGGAAAAATGGACAGAGAAATCCAATCCAGAATAGTCAAAGCCAGCACAGCATTCAGTAATTTTAAATATAGGTTATGAAACACCAAAAATATGTCTCTCAGAGTAAAGATCGACATATACAAATCAGCCCTTCTCTATGGTGCTGAAACTTGGACTCCATATCACAAGCACATAAATCAACTTGACGCCTTTCACATGCAGTCTTTGTGCCATGTGCAATATAAAATGGGATGACTATTCAGTATTGCACTATTCTTGACACTGTCAAGAATAGTGCAATACTGTGAAACGTCTCAACTTTGAAAACCTGGGAAGCCCAAGCATCAAACCGAAAGGAGTGGCATAAGACATGTTTCATTAAGTTAAAGGGTTTTGAAGACAGTAGAATGAAGCACCGTGATCAGCTTCTTCAAGCTCTGAAGCAGAGATGCCATCAAAATCCTGCTTTAACAAATTTCATCTGTCAGGGTGGCATTGTCACCCACAGCAAGGCTGGGCTATTATCACACTTAAGAAAGCACAAATGAAATATGTCTTTCCTTTACCTAATTTTCTCCACAATAGTCCCTGCTAGCATGCATAAGTGTAAAATGAAAGGCATCATCCACTGCTGATCCTCATTTATCATTCATGATAAGAGAGTCCACCATATATATGTGGAATGTTGTTGCAGGTCTCAAGCTGGCCTTAAATTATGAAAGACAAATACAAATAGAGTATCAAATGTGAAACATGTTAAACCTCCATATATAGGAAAGAACAAGAGAGACCATCATTATGGTGTGTTTGGTGGGTGTGGATGTTATATGTAGGTAGTATAACATACCAGTGCAGAAAGTGGAATTGGAAAGCCAAATTCAAATTCCAGTCAATTCTACTTCATTCATTTTGTATTAATGATCCTGAAAAAGGTACAAACCCATCTTTCTCCAGTTATGGATTAATTAGCAAAGCAAACTACTGTCTTGCTTTAAGTGGCAGCCAATATAACTGAATACAAACTATGCCTTTCTGGTGGAGGGTTATGCTTGAATAGACATCAACCCCCCCCCATTAAAAAAAAAAAAAAAAAGTGACATTAATGTCTACCAGTCTCAAGAGATCAAAACGTACCACTAAAGAATACATGCCTCCTAACAAGAATGAAATCTGTATTGGCTTTCATGGAACCTCAACTTAGACCAGTAGACATTAATCTCCCTGTTAAAAATAAAAATAAAAGATTTTGGGAGGTCCATCTCAACACACATACATATTGTTGGATTAAAAAAAATCCATTATTTTACTTACATTATATATAAGTAGGCATCCCTATCTCACAAGAAGCACCCAGTTTGGCGAAAATTCAGTCCTTTGGTGATGTGATGATAATGACCTTTCCAAGGAACAGACATGGGTGATGGTATATGAAGATTGTGTGCTACCCAAACTATATGGCCCCCCTTCCAACTGTAACAAGATCTTAAGGAATACAGGGCATTACATTTAGGGCCAGCTTGACTGCAGGAATTGCCAAAAAAGTTGTCAGTGTTGATAGCCAACCACCTTCAAGGCTCCACTCAGTTTTTTCTGTCTGAATTTATTTCTCTAGCCTTTCCCCAATTTGGATATGACCACAAAGCAGCAGAGATTTAATAATCAATGTTTTCCAGCCCCTAAAACTGTCTTCCTGGGTTATAGAGCTCAATCAAAGCAGCTGGTTATGAGGTGCCAGTTGCCCACCTTTGCCCATTCCCCGGCTTGGAGCTGAACTTAGCTGTCAGAAGCTATTTGACATGCATCCCATAGAAGCATTTTATAGACAGCAAGAGATCATCCCTACTATTACCTCCAGCTATGACAACCTTTATAACATTTATGTATGTGTATGTATATAAACATCATATAAAAACATTAGATAAACAAAAACACTAGAAAGCAAGACAAATTACAAAATAATCGTACACAAATAAACAAACACAAATATCAACAAGTTTTAATTTTGGAAAAAGATAGGTGAAAAAATGAATTTATAAATTGGAATTTAAGCCTAAAATACTCGAAGATTACAAAATCATTATACAATAATATAATTTATACTACTTTTTGACAGTACTAACACCTAAAATACCAACTGATAAAAAATGAACAAGAGTAGAAAACGCAAAGTTGATAAATATAACTTCAGGTAAGCAAAAACAAAGTAAAAATAAAAAACGATCTTCAGGTTAGTTATACAAAAACAAATATATACTAACACACTGTTTATATATTGTTTTATTCCTAGTACTTTTGACATTAACACAATGTCATCTTCAGGGTGTGTTTTTAACTTAATTTTCAGATGAATAGAGCAATTTTGTCTTTGAAAATAATGAACACTAAATTTTTGTCTTAAAAACACACCCTGAGGATGACATGGCGTTAAATGTCAAAAGTACTCAGAATAAAATAATATGTATCAACACAGTAATTTTTTCTTTTAATACTGCCACCAAAAAGCTCATTTGAAAATAAGTAGACAAAACCTGTCTATATTATTCAATGAAATTTGTCTCAATGAAAACATGCTGCCAAAATACACACACACACACACACACACAATAAAAACTGGTAATTGTACATGCTTGTAAATTTTCATCACCAATAGACAAAGATAAAATGAAGGTGAAAACCAATATAAATTACTTTTAACCAAAACTTATTCTATTCAAATACTAAAAGATGCTTTGACTATAATCCAATATTTTATTTTCAAGTTAAAAAAGAAGGTAATGCATATCACTGCTATTTTGTATCTGAGTGGGCATTCACTATTAAAGTTATGGTGGTAAGTGTTTCTGCTAGTGAATTTTTTATACAATGGGGTGATAAAAGTGCTGTTGCTATATTCTATGAGAACGTCTAAGAATGGGAATTTATTTTTTGGACTAAGTTCATAGGTAAACTTAAGGACAGAGTTTTTTCAAATGTGGTCTTGAGAGTATCTATTTCTTTTGTTTATTCACTAAAATAAAAATGTTGTCTATGTAGCAGACATATTTTAGGCTTACAGACCTGTATAAATATCATGTTTTCTACATAGGGCATGTAATAATTGAAGAAGCACCAGCCAAGCGGATTTTCCATACTAACACCATTAGTTTGGGTGTAAATGTTGCCATTATGTTCATAGAATGGATAGTATTAGAATAGTCTACCCCAATTGACCTGAATTAAAAAAAATCAAATTAATTATCTGTAGATGTTGTATTTTGTATTTGTCATATTGTCTGGTCCTTTGTAGACTAACTTCCTTTCTCCCCCCCCCCACCTCGTCTTTCGTACACTGCATATTTATATTTTCTCAAATCTCATGGTCACCATGATTTTGCATCAATTTGTCAACATACAAACAATATGGCTTCACCACAATGGCTTCTTTATGTACAGACATTCAGAAGTTTTTTTTTTTTTTCAAACTACATTATCTACTACAGAAAATTTAAAACAGATAACCTTAACCTCAAAAATAACAACAAGCCAGCAAACTCAAAATTACAACAAGCAAATATTATTTATGAGTTCAAATGCCCCTTAAGGAAATGTGTGCCTGAAAAAAAAAAAAAAAAACAAATTCATAAATAATTACATCAGTCACACTACCACATGCCTATCCAGACATTTAAGTTACACCTATCCAACCACACCTCTATTAGAACCCATTTAAAGACGCACACAAACTTACCAGACTCCATCCGAAACATACTAGTACAAAATACAAACATAATAACCTCATCCACATGTAAAAAAAGATTAAAACTAATGGAAGCTTTAATTATAAATAATAATAAAAAAGAAAAGCCAACGCTCAACAATATTAACTATGAACACGTCCACAATGTGCTGTGTTTAGAAAATAAAACACCCCTATACCTCTAGAAACATACACACATCCCATACACCCAATTAAAAAACAAAAATAAAATCATCTTTAATAATGGCTAAAAGGATAGCCACAAGCACTTGGAATTACCAAACATTTGGAGAGTTTCTACGCACTGTGTCCAGAAAAGAAAATACTTGTTCGAACAGAAGAAAAATTAAATAAAAAACCTAGTCTTGTTGTGTATAAACAAAAGATTGCTGCCTAAATACACTATATATATATATATATATATATATATATATATATATATATAGAAATATAATGTTATTGTGCTATATTTATGGGATAAGATGCTCAATATCAGAGATAGAGCGTATGTAAATATAATATAAAAGTGAACATTGAAGTCAACACTCAGAGACAACAGGCTGTTTCATGCTAGACTGAAATTTTCAGGCAGCCTGTCACCTCTGAGTGTTGACTTCAATGTTCACTTTATATATATATATATATATATATATATATATATATATATATAGTAAAAATATATAAAGGGTAAACTGAACTTGATTTTAAAAATTTGCAAATCATTTTTCTAGACAATAATTACTTAAAGAACCCAAAATAAAGGCAATAAATGACAAAATTAATTTGAATTTCCCATTTCGTAATGAAATTATGAAGAAACAACCAGTTTAATAATAAAATACAACATACTTCCAGGTGTGGGATCTGCAATTAAAGAGATGTACGATTTCACAGTTGTCATCTGAGCACCCACATCATGTGGACTCATTGCTGATGCTAACATCATGGTTGAAAAGTGGAGGGCAACACACCACCTAAACAAAACCAAAAAAAAAATAAAGACTTTATTAAAAATGAAAATTCATACAAATAGCACAGATGACAATTATTTGTTTTTGATTTCAAAATGACATATTTGAATTTTTTTAATAAACTAAAAGTAGTATAGTATAAATAAGTACTTATTGGTGTTTTCTCTTCAATCCACTTTTTTCTGTAAATAGCCAAAAAGAAAAAGTTAGCCAAATAGTTAAAATAAGAACTTCAAAATAAATTTATTTTTATGACATCAACTGTAAACTTTTAGGCTGAAACAAAAATGGTAATTCTTTTTCTATTGATTAGTGTGATAGTGTTTTCTTGAACTGTTAAATGATTGATATGAAATATCAAAGTATATTTTTTTTTTTAATCACTACAAGCCAGGCAATAACACCACTAAGATGCAAAAGGTTGCCGAGTGTGAAAGAATACAAGAAAACACTATTTATTAAAAAGAGAGAACAATAAATAAACAGGAATTAAGAAGACAAAAGATAATTATTGAGATTGCATTTAAATTTTTGAAAATCAAAGTTGTCTGGGAAACAAGAAGGCAGAAGAGAATTTCACAAGGGAGAAGTGCGAGAGAAGATTATTAGCATAGAACTTATGTTACACCTGACTATTTCAAGTGTAAAATGATGAGACCTAAATATAGGTACCTCCACGAGATCGCTAAAAAAAGAGCATAGCATGATGAAAAAGACGCCAAACTTGACGAAAACAAAATTTTATCGTCTAAATGTTTGTTATTATTAAGAGGAAAGGTCAAAGTATTTTTGGGGTATTTTTCCCATTTTTTAATCGTTCCTAGCACGTCCAAATTTTAGTTAAAAATCTAGTTTTTTTTGAGTCAGCAAAATTGACCATTTTTTTTCCATTAAAAAAAACTGGAAATCTGACTTTGAAAATTTTTAAATATCAATTATCATTTTTTCAAAACTTATTTCAAGAAAATCAGAAATTATAATGTTTATTTAAAATATTTTCAACCAAACTTAACTTAGCTTTTTTTGTGCCAAAAAGATGTAATTTGAAAATAAAACAAAGCAGGTCATAAACTTTTTTATGTCTCTTGACATGTGATGAATGATATATTTACGAATTCCATGAGGCTAATTTGTTCTACGGAAGGAGAAAAGTGAAATAATTCACATTTACGTGAACAAATTATTTACCCCGTTATTTTTAACAAAAACTTTCAGCAGTCTAATTTTTTTTTTTTTGTACTTAGCTTTCACCTTTACGTTTATGATGCTTTTTTATGGGAAATATATTGTAAAGAAATTAAAATAAAACTTAAGAGTGACATTAAATTTCATATTTCTTAAGAAAGGTATCTAATTAATTTATAGGTACCTTTCTTATGAAATTTTATCAGAATTGTACATAAAATACTATAATTTTATGTACATTTATTACATTCTACTGTTATTTGTATTCATTTTATTATTAATTTTGATATTTCATTTATGGAAAAATGTCATAACTGAGATTAATATAAAAATAAGATCATATAAATTTCCTAAGATGATACTGATACTTGTAGGTACCCTTCTCAGTTGAAATTGAAAAATCAAATTAACTTCTCCACCGTGTTTAAGAAAAATTAAAGGCCTTAACAGCGGAGAACAATGCTTAACTCAAATAACGCAACTTAATTATATTCTGGTTGGTCTTCCGTATTTTATAATTACAGCTCGATTATAAGCACAAAATTACATTTCTTAATTACTGGGTATCTTCTGATTAGTCAAAATGATACAATTTACAACGCTAAAAAAAGATCTATCTCATAAGGACACTTATGAAAGCCGATTCGTTTTTAACTAATTTTATAATATTTTAACAACTTAAATGTAAAATCTATTATAATTAATGAAATAACAAATAATTGTATTAAAAAAAATTCATTTTCATCGAAAAATTTGCTTTCAGAAAATATTGTCCATATTCATAAAAACAACTAAAAGCAAATAAAAGCATTTGAAATTAAATAATATTTTTGTTTTATTGAGTTTTGTATGTTACAATTCAGAGCTGATTTTCATGTACTGCGTATCCAATTAAAAACAAAAAAAAACATGATTTGCATTCCTCAAAGCCCTGTGCTTTTAATTATTGTAATCACTAAAACTGATGCGATCGAATTTCTAGCGTTTTCATAAAAATTAGTTAGGGGGGGGGCGTAATAAATATTTTTAAAAAATATTTCTACCATGACTTTCATAAAACAAACATATTTATAATAATTTGATCATCTGTGAATAGTTCCTGAAAGTTTCATCAACATCCGATAATTATTTCTATTTTTGCACGATTTTTCAAATTAATGTGTCATACCAAAAAACGTGCTAAAAATTGTCTATGTTATTTACTAGTTCCACTTGATACAAATAGAAAAAAAAATTTTTTAATCAAAATTTAGAATGTTCTAAAAAGGAAAATTTTTTTAAAATAATTTAAAAAAAAACCTTCGGTCTTTCCTCTTAATAATAACATAAGCATTTAAACAATAAAATTTTGTTTTTGGCATGGTTGGCGTCTTTTTCATCAAGCTATGCTCTTTTTTTAGCGATTTCGTGGAGGTACCTACCTAAATATCAATCTAGTACAGTGCATAAGTTCCTGAAGTTGAGGTACACAAGATGAAAGTTCATATTTATGGAAAAGACACAGGAAAACTGTTACAACAGTGGGAAAAGTGACTGAAGCCAAAGAGCCAGGTAAGGACAGATAACATTGCAGATTCTTTGGACGACTTCACTAATTTCTAAATACATAACAGAATCACCAGACCAGATATGGCAGAAATATTCAATGCATAGATAAATGGTAGACGTATGAAGATGCAAGATAGATTCTGGCAAGAAAAATTACCTAGCACAACACAGTGAACCAACTTTCTTATCAATTGATTAAATATAATCTTTCCACTTCACATCAACAGAAAATGGTACCTTGAGAAGGCACAAGGAATCACTCTCCTGCAAGTTAGCATCAGCCATGCGGATGAAAGGCAAAAAAAAAAAATGGTTCAAGAGAGTAGTTTTGTTTTAAAGGTGTCAAAATTAAAAAGCCATTTCTTGAGTCACAGATTGAAGGTTATTTTTTAGATCAGCAGCCAACTTGACCTTATTGAACTGATCAGACTTAGCATCAAGGTAGGAGTAAATAGTTGTCATCAGACTAGATACAGAGTTGAGAACTGATGACATCTGGAAGGTCGTTGATAAAAATTAGGAACAACATAAGTCAGGGGATAGAGACCTAGAAGACACCTACATTAATGCAAAAAGATCTAGGAGAGTGGCCATTCTACACAACCTCCATTTCACGATTGGATAAGATTGAATCAGATCAAAAATTTGTCCAGCAATACCATAACCATTTCAACTTATGAAAATCATCATGTCAAACCCTATCAAACATCTTTAAGGTATCCAAAGCAACAGCCTGAGCGTCACTGTGCTTATCTAAGGTTTGATAGACTCTTTCAGCAATAACAATTAACATATCTGCAGTTGACAGAGAGAAGCAAAAGTCATATTGCTTATCTGAAAGAAGAATCTGTGAGGTGAGATGCTTAACCATGTCAGAGTTGATTAGAGCCTCCAGTACTTTGCCAAAAAGAGGTAGAAGGCTAATAAGGCCAGTAATTAGAAGGATCAGATGGTTTGCCTAAGTTCTCAAAGACCTGAACTACAGAAGAGGATTTCTAACAAGCAGAAAAGCAAGCAGAAAGTCAGTTAGTGTAGACTTTAAAGAGAACAGGAGCCAATTCAGGAGCACATTTCTTAAGGACAATTACAGGAATACTATCACGGCCACATGCATTTGTGGAGTGAAGGGTCTAGCTTTGAGATGATAGCAGAAACCATGAACAAAATCACATGGATATCACACAATTGAGAGACTGTCCTAAAGGGAAATTCAGGCAAAGATACTCCAGATGAGTCAAGAGTAGAAGAGAATTTATGAGCAAAACGTTCTGCTTTATCATCAGATAACACCTCAAATTGAGTGAAGAAAGGAGAGATAGAATATTTACTCTTATTTAACACAATATTACAGAGCTGCCAGTAGTCACAAGAATGAAACTTGTTAGATGCTATATGGTGCCTCATTCTGTCAGTATACAAAGACTTAGACTTTTGAGGATATATCTACAATTACAAGCAGACACAAAGAGATGTCCATTTTCATCGGAACTATCACATTGGTACAACCAGAAAAAGGTTGGTTGGGTTTTATGGCATATCAACCACTGTATGCGATTTAATGCCAAATTTAGTTACCCATATGGATTACCTAAGTTTGCATAAACTAAATATTAGCTCCTTATAAAATAAGGAGAGCTCTCTGTTGGATTACCTCCCATCGGATTACCATAAGGATCCAAACTTCCAACCTAAAATGGATAAATTTACACCGGACTACTCAGTCAAGAACATTCCTCACCCTATGATTGAATCCTTCACCATGTCTTTGATGGAAAAAATCATTGACGTCATAAAAAGAATGAGGTGGAAAATTCATTTCCATCTTAATCCCCATAACAAACCCACTAAACTAGATGAAGCCTTTTACTTTAAATCTCAAAACACTCCACCAAGCAATAAATTATTAGAACCTTTTGAAAAAGATTTAATTGAGTTAATTAAGAAAACATCCTTCCAGAAAAAATGCAACCCATTCCAATCCAAACTTAAAAAAGACATCACAAATATAAAAAATTCAAAAAACTATGGATCAGAGCTGACAAATCTAAAAATATTTACAAAATTAATCCCTCGGAATACAACCATATGATTCAAAATAAAGTTTCTGGTTCTTATAAGAAAGACAACAACTCTCAACACTTATCCTCCATACACAAAGAAACTGCGAAATTAGCATTTAAATATAATATTGCTGATAGAATGGGTACAACTCATCTAAAAGAAGCCTACCTACTTTTTAAAG